TTTATTAACTTTCTTCAGTAAAGCTTTTGAGGCTGTTGACCACAATAAAGAATTTGATATTATTTACTTAGATTTTAGTAAGGCTTTTGATAGAGTTCCGCACCATAGACTGTTAAAGAAAGTGGCAGCTCATGGCATTGGGGGAAAAGTGCTCTCGTGGATCGAGTCATGGCTCACTGACAGGAAGCAGAGAGTGTCCATAAATGGGGTTAAGTCCGAGTGGGGATCTGTAACAAGTGGCGTTCCACAGGGATCAGTCTTGGGCCCGTTGTTGTTTATAATATATATCAATGATCTTGATGAGGGAATTACTAGTGATATGAGCAAATTCGCCGATGACACAAAGATAGGTAGGATAATTGATTCAAACGTAGATGTTATGGAACTTCAGGAGGATTTAAACAAACTCTATTCTTGGTCAGAAAAGTGGCAGATGCAGTTCAATGTAGATAAATGCAAGGTTCTGAAGCTTGGGAGTGCCCATAACCCTAGTACTTATAAGTTAAATGATGTAGAACTTAGCCATACAGATTGCGAAAAGGACTTGGGGGTTATGGTGAGCAGCAACCTTAAACCAAGACAGCAATGCCTAAGCGTACGTAATAAGGCAAATAGATTACTGGGATTTATATCAAGAAGTGTAAGCAACAGAAGTCCAGAGGTCATACTGCAGCTTTATACATCATTAGTAAGACCTCACCTAGATTATGCAGCTCAATTCTGGTCTCCGTATTACAAAATGGACATAAATTCGTTAGAAAACATTCAGCGTAGGATGACTAAATTAATACATAGCATTAGAAATCTTCCTTATGAAGAAAGATTGAAGACTCTTAAGTTACATTCACTTGTTAGACGAAGAATGAGGAGAGACCTGATCGAAGTGTATAAGTGGAAGATAGGTATTAATAAAGGGGATATTAATAAGGTCTTGAGGATGTCTCTCCAAGAGAGAACCCGCAGTAATGGATTTAAATTAGATAAGTTTAGATTTAGAAAGGGCATAGGAAAGTATTGGTTTGGAAATAGGGTTGTTGATGAGTGGAACAGTCTACCTAGTTGGGTTATTGAGGCTAGGACTTTGGGTAGTTTCAAATCTAGGTTGAATAAGTACATGAGTGGGAGGGGTTGGATTTGAGTGGGAATTTCACATCAGAGCTTATTTCTTGGGTGGCATTGAAAATTGGGTTGGGCAAATGTTTTGTTAGTGGGATGAATTGTAAAGGACCTGCCTAGTATGGGCCAGCAGGCCTCCTGCAGTGTTCCTCCATTCTTATGTTCTTATGTTCTTTATTTTTGACTGGCTCCTCCTCCTTATTTCCCCACTACTACCACCACCACTACTACTACTACTACTACTACTACTACCACCACTACTACTACCACCACTACTACTACTACTACTACTACTACTATTACTACTATTACTACTACTACTACTACTACTACCACCACTACCTCTTCCTGCCTATATATAGCCGTCCTGCTCCACTTCTGGTTAGTGTGACTTTGTAAATGGTCCAAGTCGCACCGAAACGTCGTCGTAAGCTCCTCTCTTCTATGTGCGGGTTATTTGTGTAAATATTGCATGCCCGTATTGTGTGACGGTTTATGTGTTAAATGTAATTAACCCTTGGTCAGAGGGTTTCATGTCCTCGTTATGTATTGTATTTTAAATAAAATATAAAAAAAATGTGCAAGTGACTGATATATATCTTATTTTTGGTTTGTTGATTATATGATGATGAATTTAGTTAATTTTTTAACATTTAGGTATCTATAATTTGATGGCTTTTCCTCAGTCAGTGGCTTATTCAGTTCAACATATAAATTATATACGGAAAACAGTGGTAGATGAGATAATACGACCAAAACTATTCAATACCTTTCTGATGATGAATCTAAAAGTGCAGCAGAAATGTGAACTCCGGGTTACTGGAGCCGGATGAGGAGGAGCTGTTGAAAGTATGTACACAGGAACGCAGTACCAAGTAATGGAAACTGATCAATCCTAAGTGTTGGGCCGTTGATTAGCAAATTGGTTGAAAATGATATCCTCTGTTGCAAGAACCCATAGTGTTGCTGTGTCGGACGTCAGTACATGATGAGTCAGTCATATGTGCAATACTTTGTTCTCTGTTTGTGGATGTTTTGCCAACCAGTGTTTTTTTTCATCTCAATGCAGAGATTATATTCGTAATACAGTGGTATATGAGGTAATCAGTTCCTCAGTTTTGAAGATGGTGGTAGATGAGGTAATTAGTCCCTGAGCCTCAAGGAACTTAAGTAATCAAGATTATGGGTTAAATCTGATTACCTCATCTTCCACTGTCTTCCGCATATAATTTCTCTATTAAACTGCAGGTGCTTCTAGTTGGAATAACGGCCTTCAAAATAAAAATACCCAGGAACTGCAAATTTGTCTAATTCATCAATTTGTCGCTATGTTATACATTTATACAGTGATAAATGCTAGTTAAGAGCGTAAAAAAAATACCACCATTTATCAGCTAAAAGAAATTAAGTGGTCTGATCTGCATCACTGTACACTCACAACATGACAGGTGTGTTTAATGGTATTATTAAGCGTGTAAGAGAAAAGTTTTGGTTAAGAATTTTTTTTTCTGTAAATGTATAAAATATGCGCTTTTTTTTTGTCAATAATTTTTTTTTAATTAATGAAAAAATATACCATACTCCCTATTGCACACGAGAAACTGATGAAGACTGAAGTGTTCCCTGGGTGTTATTGTTATTGTTACAGCAGTGTCTGATGCGGTCTCACAATAATCGAATACAAGTTAAAATCAAACAAATAAATTTATAGGGAAATTTTAGTAAGACAATGCTTTAAAAATACTTGGGATTAATAATGACAAAACTAATGATGTAATAATTATTACGAAGCTAACTAAAATCACTGCTGGTACTTTATTGTAGCAACGAAGAGACAAATTTTGTGTGGTTGGCAACCAGCAAGTGAGAGAACTACACTACGTGTCACACACACACACATCTCTTACATGATCTCTATATCAACACACATTATGGTCCTCTATACACAAACCTGGAGAGTTACCTAGAAAGGGTTTCAGGGGTCAACTTCCCCGCGACCCGGTCTGAGACCAGGCCTAATGGTGGATCAGGGTCTGATCAACCAGGCTGTTACTGCTGGCCGCACGCAAGCTGGCGTACGAACCATCGCCCGGTTGGTCAGGTACTGACTTTAGGTGCCTTTCCAGTGCCTTCTTCAAGACAGCCAGGGGTCTATTGGCAATCCCCCTTATGTATGCTGGGAGGCAACTGAACAGTCTTTTGCCCAGGACACTTATTGTGTTGTCTCTCAGTGTACTCGTGGCGCTTTTCATCGGGGGAATGTTGCATCTCCTGCCGAGTCTTTTGCTTTCATATGGAATGGTTTTCGTGTGCAGGTTTGGTACCATTCCCTCCAGGACCTTCCAAGTGTATATTATCATGTATCTCTCTCGACTGCGTTCGAGGGAATACTGATCAAGGACCTTCAACCGTTCCCAGTAGTTTAGGTGCCTTATCGTACTTATGTGTGCCGTGAAAGTTCTTTGTACACTCTCCAGGTCTGCAATGTCGCCATCCTTGAAGGGGGCTGTTAGTGTACAGCAGTATTCCAGCCTAGAGAGCACAAGCGATTTGAATAGAAGCATCACGGGCTTCGCGTCCCTAGTTTTGAAGGTTATCATTATCCATTCTATCATTTTCCTAGTGGATGAGGTAGATGCATTGTTGTGGTCTTTGAAGGTGAGATCCTCTGACATTATCACTCCCAGGTCGTTCACATTACTTTTCCGCTCTAATGTATGGTTAAAATTTGTTGTATATCCTAACACACTTTTAATTTCTTCAAGTTTCCCATATCTGAGTAGTTGAAATTTGTCCTCATTGAACTTTATATTGTTTTGAGTGGCCCATTCGAAGATTTGGTTGATGTCCGCTTGGAGTCTCGCAGTGTCTTCGTTGTAGGTCACTGCCCTGGTGATCCGGGTGTCATCCGCAAAGGAAGACACGGAGCTATGGCTTACATCTCTATGTCAGAAATGAGGATGAGGAATAGAATGGGAACGAGTACTGTGCCTTATAGAAAAGAGCTTTTTACTATATAACTAATGTTTTACACATGTCCGAGGTAAGGTAAGCTAACGAAAAATAATAGCTATACTATTACTAGAGATAGGCATCTGAACCTACGCAGTGCTCACAATAGTATTATTGTTTTTTAATTGAATTTGTATGTCATACACATTGCATCGTGAAGCTCTTATTTTTCATAATTTACATTAATAGTCATAATAATTTTCAATATGCATTGTAGCCACATTTGGGTAATGTTAAAGAACCTTGTCAGCTTGTGCAGCGAGATTCCATTATGCCGGTGAATATATCGGTATCATTCTTGAATAATAATGAAATCTTTATCGTTTCGTAAATCATTGATGGATGAACAGAATTCAACACTGTCTTTCATGAGTGGGTGTGGGTGGGTGGGTGTGGGTGGGTGTGGGTGGGTGTGAGTTGGACCTGATTAGCTTGTGCTACTAGGTCGGTTGTCGTGTTCCTTCCGTAAGTGAATGAGACCTGACCTGACTAGGTTGGGGCATTGGTTTAAGCCGGTAGGAGACTTGGACCTGCCTCGCATGGGCCAGTAGGCCTGCTGCAGTATTCCTTCTTTCTTACGTTCTTATGTCCTTTCACTTTTGTTGAAAATGTTGTAAGTGGATCATGTGTGGATGCGATTATGTCCATTAGATATTATTTCTTAGAGATTATTGCTAGGTGGAGTTAAACTCAGAGTTATACACAACTGAAGATGTACCCACCTGGAGAGTCAACCAGCTAGTAATACGGAAAGGGAATTATACAGAAGTGGAGTTGTAAGGAAACAGTTATGCCATGAAAAGAAAGGAAGAATGGGGTTAGATGGGCAAACACCCATAGAGGAATTTATGTGTACATATTAAATAGTTCACCTTTTTGTAGAGACTGTAGGACTCCTGCTTCCATTTCCTCACAAGACCACTCTCGAAGATATTGCTGATGATCTTATCAAAACTGGATTTGAGAGGAGAGTTTCTCGGGATTCCGATAGCAATGTTGTAGGTGGCGTAACATTCCTGTTGATGTTGTAAGTAAAATAACATTCCTGCTGGTGGTGGATGGAACATAACATTCTCTTTAGTGTCACAGATCTTCATTATATTTATTAGTATATCGCTATTGAAACTAGTTATTTAAGCAAACTGCTTAGTGTTTACAGGTGCAGTTCATCTAGACATGAGTTATCAAATATGAATTATACAAAGAATTATACAAAAACTGGGAAGACAAAACATAACTCGTCGGATCTTCCCAAGGGGGGAAGAAAAAAGATGCCGGGTGATCATGAAGAGGAGGTAAATTAAGTGAAACTGATAGTGAATAAGCAGACGTAAGTGGCGACGTTTAAACAGAAAAGTTCAACAGACATCCGTTACCAACCAGTATGTAAGAGGATCATTAACGTCATGAAAGAGGACAAAAGAAGACAATGGGCATCACGCTGATCTTGCAAAGTTCGAACGTTCACTAGTGTGTCAAGGCTCTCAACTAGGGAGGAACGAAAAGCACCTAGAAAAACGTAACCCTTGATAAAGACTGGGATCAAGTTTAGAGAGGGAATAGAGAAGTGGGAGATTACCCCGACAGGCTAAGGAATGAGCCTGGTCCAACATGTTAAAACACCAGGTAGTGTCACACTTTTCGAAAACAAAAAAACACTGCAGTAAGCTAGTGTTTATTAGCAAATGCGTTACGAACATGTATGTCCAGGCAAAGTAAGGAGCCGGTAGTGGATCGACCCCTACGAAAACCAAATTGACGAGGGGAGAGACAATTGCACGTTTCCAAGTACTACACTATACCAGACAGTTCTGGCAACTTAAATATTGCACTAATAAGAGTGATGTGTCTATAGTGAGAGGCAACATGGCCCGAATTATCTGACTGACGAAAAGGTAAAATCACGGCGGCTTTCCATTAAAGAGGAAAAAACCCTCGAGACCAAACAAGAAAATGACGAGCAAAGTAGGATGTAATTATTGAAGCATACAGATAAGGATGCCATCGAGTCCAACAGCAGGTGATCGCCAAATGGAAAGTTTTTACTCAAGTTCACAAAGCGAGAAAGTCACACTGTAAGTTTCCTCAATGCAAGAAGAAAAATCTAAATGTTGACTCTGGCAGTTTTGAAGGACGGAAGCGAGGGGAAAAAGATGGAGTTCTTGCGATATACAGACAAGGTAATGTTTAATTTGTTTGGCAACCATAATGGTCTGCAACGCTGACGTCGATAGCCATAACAATGGAAGCTGGGTCTGGAGAGTACTTGACACTCAACTTCCGTATCCTTTTCCAAACTACATTCATGGAAGAAGTGGAAGTGACAGTAGAAACATATTCTCGCTAACAAGTACACTTCGCTTCTTGAATTGCACGACGCGGTAACCGCCCTTACTCGCTTAAAATCTAGGAGTCGATCAGTGGTTCCATTCCATTGCTTCGGGTAAACCAGAGTATGTAAAAAAATGTAACAGCTCGTCTAAAGAAGACGAAGGAGGAAGAAGATCTTGATAAATTAGACACATGTGCAACATTTGGATATCTTTTTTATTGAAACGTTTCGTTACACAGCTTCATCAATCCAATACAAAGAAGAATGGTGACAATCAGGTGTTTGAGGTAATCAGTCCTTTTTCCTGGAGTCGACGTAATCAGTGCGCCAGTCTTGATAAGAATGCAGCGTATGCGTGAAGGAGCTAATGATGAAGCAATGGTGTGGAGAAACGTTTCCATAATACTGATACCCAAGTGTTGCACATGTGTCTAATTTATCAACTAATCGGTTTTCTGAACCACTTACCTACATTTCTGTCAAGCACAGCAACATTTTCGGAACATAATACATGGATTCTGCAGTTGCCTAAATCTATAGGCATGACCTACTTCCAAGCAGACACGAATCACACTATAATATAGCAAAGTGCCAACAAAAACATAAGAATATGGAATCTGAATGCGCACAAGAATCATATTTTCGTTAAATGTCTCAAGAGAAAAAGGATCTAGTGATTGCAGTAAATCATAGCAAGAGACAGCAAGGCCAACAACGTAAAGCAATTTTAGTACTTTTAAACAGACACATACAGGGGAAAACTGAGAGAGAAACATTTAAAGCTTCCGTCTATTATCCCTAAATCCTCCTATATTTCATTGTAAGAAAACCATTAGATGCGAGTAGGAAGGCAACAGTAACAGAAAGTGCGTGGTGTTTACGGGCTAGGTTGATCCATGAAGTTGGTGTGTGGCGGTAGCGGTGAAGAAGCAAGAAACGATTTGCTGGAACCATAAGAAGAAAGGTGAGCAGGACCAAATGTAAAAGAATGTGGAACGTATGAATGTGAAGATCTGAGAGGTGAGTCAAATGTCCATAGTCCCTAAAAGGGACTATGAAATTAAAGTTGCTAGGGATTCTAAAACTAATCCAAAAAGTTTTTTCCAGGTATATAGAACAAAAGTCAGAGATAAGATAGGTCCCCTTAAAAATAACTATGGGCATCTTACTGACAAAGAGAATGAAATGTGCTCGATTTTAAATAATTATTTTCTCTCGGTTTTTACACAGGAAGACACTAATAATATTCCGGTAATTAATTTTTATAGTGGATCAGAAGAAGATAAATTATGTAACATCACAGTTGCTAGTGAAATGGTTGTGAAGCAGATAGACAGACTGAAGCAAAATAAGTCACCGGGTCCTGATGAGGTTTTTTCAAGGGTTCTTAAGGAATGCAAAATGGAAGTCTGTGAACCATTAACTAATATTTTTAATTTATCTCTTCAAACAGGTGTAGTGTCTGATATGTGGAAGATGGCTAATGTAATTCCTATTTTTAAAACAGGGGACAAGTCGTTACCGTCAAATTACCGCCCAATAAGCCTGACCTCAATTGTAGGCAAGTTGCTAGAGTCAATTATAGCTGAGATCATAAGAAGCCATCTCGATAAGCATAGCTTGATTAATGATACTCAGCATGGATTCACAAGAGGCCGGTCTTGTCTAACTAATTTATTAACTTTCTTCAGTAAAGCTTTTGAGGCTGTTGACCACGATAAAGAATTTGATATTGTTTACTTAGATTTTAGTAAGGCATTTGATAGAGTTCCGCACCAAAGACTGTTGAAGAAAGTAGCAGCTCATGGCATTGGGGGGAGGGTGCTCTCGTGGATCGAGTCATGGCTCACAGACAGGAAGCAGAGAGTGTCCATAAATGGGGTTAAATCCGAGTGGGGATCAGTAACAAGTGGCGTTCCACAGGGATCAGTCTTGGGCCCGTTGTTGTTTATAATATATATCAATGATCTTGATGAAGGAATTGCTAGTCATATGAGCAAATTCGCCGATGACACGAAGATAGGTAGGATAATTGATTCAAACGTAGATGTTAGGGAACTTCAGGAGGATTTAGACAAACTCTACTCTTGGTCAGAAAAGTGGCAGATGCAGTTCAATGTGGATAAATGCAAGGTTCTGAAGCTCGGGAGTGTCTATAACCCTAGCACTTATAAGTTAAATAATGTAGAACTTAGCCATACAGATTGCGAAAAGGACTTGGGGGTTATGGTAAGCAGCAACCTTAAACCAAGACAGCAATGCCTAAGCGTACGTAATAAGGCAAATAGATTACTTGGATTTATATCAAGAAGTGTAAGCAACAGAAGTCCAGAGGTCATACTGCAGCTTTATACATCATTAGTAAGGCCTCACCTAGATTATGCAGCTCAATTCTGGTCTCCATATTACAGAATGGACATAAATTCGTTAGAAAACATTCAGCGTAGGATGACTAAATTAATACATAGCATTAGAAATCTTCCTTATGAAGAAAGATTGAAGACTCTTAAGTTACATTCACTTGTTAGACGAAGAATGAGGGGAGACCTGATCGAAGTGTATAAGTGGAAGATAGGTATTAATAAAGGGGATATTAACAAGGTCTTGAGGATATCTCTCCAAGAGAGAACCCGCAGTAATGGATTTAAATTAGATAAGTTTAGATTTAGAAAGGACATAGGAAAGTATTGGTTTGGAAATAGGGTAGTTGATGAGTGGAACAGTCTACCTAGTTGGGTTATTGAGGCTAGGACTTTGGGTAGTTTCAAATTTAGGTTGGATAAGTACATGAGTGGGAGGGGTTGGATTTGAGTGGGACTTGCACATCGGAGCTTGTTTCTTGGGTGGCATTGAAAATTGGGTTGGGAAAATGTTTTGTTAGTGGGATGAATTGTAAAGGACCTGCCTAGTATGGGCCAACAGGCCTGCTGCAGTGTTCCTCCTTTCTTATGTTCTTATGTATGACTCCGTCTCCTCGATAAACGCCGAAATGGCTTCAATAGTTTCTGCCAATAAAGACGATGTAGGAAGCATAGTGGTAAAGTCAAAAGATGTAGGCTGAGAAGATAGCGGAGAGATAATGGTAGTTACCAAAGTAGGAGAATACGATGAGATGTTATAAGTATTCTGGGAGAAAGAAACAAGATTTATATAGGTATAAGTGTGTGCATGTGTAGAAATAAGAGTTATACATGTGAAAAAGAGTATAAGTGTAGATACTGTTAATGTTAAAATCATCAGTTAAGATTTAACATTTTCTGATTATTAAAATAAATGCCTTAAGATGATACTCTTATGCTGTTCTTCAGTTTATGAAGTACTGCAACAGAGACTGTTAAAGAAAGTGGCAGCTCATGGCATTGGGGAAAAAGTGCTCTCATGGATCGAGTCATGGCTCACAGACAGGAAGCAGAGAGTGTCCATAAATGGGGTTAAATCCGAGTGGGGATCTGTAACAAGTCGCGTTCCACAGGGATCAGTCTTGGGCCCGTTGTTGTTTATAATATATATCAATGATCTTTATGAGGGAATTACTAGTGATATGAGCAAATTCGCCGATGACACAAAGATAGGTAGGATAATTGATTCAAACGTAGATATCAGGGAACTTCAGCAGGATATAAACAAACTCAATACCTGGTCAGAAAAGTGGCAGATGCAGTTCAATGTAGATAAATGCAAGGTTCTGAAGTTCAGGAGTGTCCACAACCCTAGCACTTATAAGTTAAATAATGTAGAACTCAGCCATACAGATTGTGAAAAGGACTTGGGGGTTATGGTAAGCAGCAACCTTAAACCAAGACAGCAATGCCTAAGCGTACGTAATAAGACAAACAGATTGCTGGGATTTATATCAAGAAGTGTAAGCAACAGAAGTTCAGAGGTTATATTACATCTTTATACATCATTAGTAAGGCCTCACCTAGATTATGCAGCTCAGTTCTGGTCTCCATATTACAGAATGGACATAAATTCGTTAGAAAACATTCAGCGTAGGATGACTAAATTAATACATGGCATTAGAAATCTTCCTTATGAATAAAGACTGAAGACCCTTAAATTACATTCACTTGTTAGAAGAAGAATGAGGGGAGACATGATCGAAGTGTATAAGTGGAAGATGGGTATTAATAAAGGTGATACAAATAAGGCCTTGAGGATATCTCTCCAAGAGAGAACCCGCAGTAATGGATTCATATTAGACAAGTTTAGATTTAGAAAGGTTATAGGAAAGTATTGGTTTGGAAATAGGGTAGTTGATGAGTGGAACAGTCTACCTAGTTGGGTTATTGAGGTTATTTGAGGTTGGACAAATACATGAGTGAGAAGAGTTGGATTTGAGTGGGACTTGCATTTGAGTGGATAGAGTTATCCGAACTTATTTCTTGGGTGGCACTGAAAATTGGGTTGGGCAAATGTTTTGTTAGTGGGATGGATTGTGAAGCACCTGCCTAGTATGAGCCAACAGGCCTGCTGCAGTGTTCCTCCTTTCTTATGTTCTTATGTTTACAAAGAGAGGTTTTCTCTCAATATATATATAGTCTTATGGTCACTTTAATCCCTATATTTTGTAAGAAAATATTCTGGGCTGATGGTGTACAGGTTACAAGCACTGTTATTGATTTTTGTGTAGTCGACAGGCTTTAAACCTATTCACATAATCTTAAAGTCATGTCTGAGGTAATTTCCTAAACGTGAATTTCACTTTTCGCAGTCAGCTGACATCTGTACAGAAGGAATATATTAACCTAAATCAAAATAATAGTTTTCAATAAGCAATCTTTATGGTCTGGTCACAGTCCTTGAGAATCCTCATGACTTAATTTATTGGACAAGTTTAAATGTTATCATTTATTATTAGTCACACATAGCTGGAAAATTTAAAGGAAGCTACCTTTATCGTGCGAACACCATAAGATTTCCTAGACGGACCAACCAGAGTATTGAGGAGGAACTCCATGGCACTGCGATTTTCAGTGAACACACCTTTCCCTGCGGCTATATCACGAATAATTTCTGTCATGTCTTTGACGAGGACGTGTCTCTTTGCCAGACCCTGCAAGACAAAGGAAATTTTAATTTAGAGATCTGTAATTGTAACAACTGCTTATCTTATTGTAGTTGCATATCTAAAATGCAGCTATATTTTAGATAAGCCATATATACTAGAAATAATGAAACTAGTTTTATTTCCATGTTCTAAAAATTTTGATCGAGATATAAGTATTCAATATTGTATTCAAAATGTATTTAGGCATTATACATGAGCTCCAAAATTCTTTAAAGCAAATGATACTGTATAAACGGAAAGGGTTTCTCCATTTGTTATAATTTTTACGCATATGAGGACTTCTTCCAATACTTGCAAATGCCCACTAAGTGGCGAAATGTTATATCAATATAACACTTCACTGCTACCACTGTCTTTTTTCTCGTAATGCTAATATATATCAAGAACGAGAACTTTCACACCTACTCTGAGATAAGGATTGGATGATTGCAAAAAGGTATCTCTGAGGAAGTTTGAGGCCTCAAAAAAAACAAGCGAGGACTCGTACAGTTCTTTCAAAGTCTCTATCCCCGGGGGTCGTCTGGTGACGGTGAGGAAGGCTGTTAGGTTGGAGGAGTAGGCAACGCGGATGATGAAGGTATAAAATAGGAGGAAACCAACTATGATGCGAAGACTATGACGACGGGGCAGAAGCGGCTGGAATCCTTGAAAATGAATACACAAGGCATTCATATAAGCGGTCGCCAGCGACACTTGTACATCTGTTTTTGCGTCCCTCATGCTGCCGTAGGAAAGAGGGAGACGGAGAGAGATTGAGGTAATGGGTGGTACTTAGTACTATTGTGAATTAATAGGGTCAACATGCAGGAAACCTACTCTAGACACAAAACTGTTGACCCTTTCATAAAAAGTGAGGTCCAAGCTGAGGCCCAAGCTGAGGTCCAAGCAGAGGTCCAAGCTGAGGTCCAAGCTGAGGCCCAAGCTGAGGTCCAAGCTGAGGCCCAAGCTGAGGTCCAAGCTAAGGTCCAAGCTGAGGTCCAAGCTGAGGTCCAAGCTGAGGTCCAAGCTGAGGTTCAAGCTGACGCCCAAGCTGAGGTCCAAGCTGAGGTCTAAGCTGAGGTTCAAGCTGACGCCCAAGCTGAGGTCCAAGCTGGGGCCCAAGCTGAGGTCCAAGCTGGGGCCCAAGCTGAGGTCCAAGCTGGGGCCCAAGCTGAGGTCCAAGCTGGGGCCCAAGCTGAGGTCCAAGCTGGGGCCCAAGCTGAGGTCCAAGCTGAGGTCCAAGCTGAGGCCCAAGCTGAGGCCCAAGCTGAGGTCCAAGCTGAGGTCCAAGCTGAAGCCCAAGCTGAGGTCCAAGCTGAGGTCCAAGCTGAGGTCCAAGCTGAGGTCCAAGCTGAGGTCCAAGCTGAGGTCCAAGCTGAGGTCCAAGCTGAGGCCCAAGCTGAGGCCCAAGCTGAGGTCCAAGCTGAGGCCCAAGCTGAGGTCCAAGCTGAGGTCCAAGCTGAGGTCCAAGCTGAGGTCCAAGCTGAGGTCCAAGCTGAGGAACTAGTTAACTATTCTTCTACCTCTTCAGTCTCCTCTTTTAGTACCTGAATTATTTACATAATAATGATAACCAGGTGTTGTACATGCAAGTACTTCTTTTATCATGCCAGAATTTTATACCTTTTTTATGCTATGATAACAGAATTAAAAAGAATGAAGGATATTAATGACTCCCATAGATGTCAGAGAATACTTAAGCTCGATGATGTTGAGACTAGAATCACCTGAATGTGGAAGTGGCAGTAGCAGATTCTATGAAAAACACTAATTATAAGTATGAAAGCTTGATCAGTGGTTGAGAGGAAGGGCAAGAATGCAAAATTCTCTCCCAGAACCACAATTGAGTAAATAAAAATTAGTTGAGTTTGAAGAAAATAACTCATTGCCTTTTCTAGATGTTTTAATTATTAAGGGTAATAGTGAATTTAAATTTAAAATTTACAGAAAACCTACAAATAACTGTTCCTATGTACACTATTATTCTTCACATTAAGATAGAGTTAAACTGTCTGTTTTCTCTTCAATGTTTTTGAGAGTTTTAAGTATTTATAGTCCTGAGTTCATAGATGAGGAAATATCCAAAATTTATGAAATAGCTAAAGATTTGAAATACCCAAGAAACGTAATTGATAAATCTTTTAAAATTGCTAGTAATACTTTTACAATCCAAAAAGGGACAACCAGCCTTATTCAACTAAAAATATGTTGGTTCTCCCTTACCATGAAAACTTGGTTGATATGCCTTCTCTTCTTAAAACTTTTAATATTTAAAAATTTTGATACAGTAAAAAAAAACTTTTGATAAAGAGTTCCCCCCAAAATGCTGACGGATGTGTCTATAAGATTCCTTGTAAAATTTGCGAAAAAGTTTATTGCGGTCAAACTGGTAAAAATCTCGAACTAAGATTAAAACAACATAAATATAGCATTAGAACTGGACAAGATTCCAATGCTCTATTTATTCATGTGAGAGATTTTAACCATCCAATTGATTTTCAAAAAGTTGAGAAAGTTGTATTAAGCAAGTCCATGGTCGACAGGAATAAAATTAAATCTTGTTTCATAAAAAGCAGTTTTGACAATAATATGAATATTTCCTTTGGTTTATATAAATTAGATCCATTCATAATTAATAGAATTTGGGAAGAATTTAATAATACATTGGACAAATAATAAATTTTAAAATTCTTAATTCTTGGGTAGAATAGTTTTCGTGAGTTGTGTGAAGGATCAGCTGCACTGTTCCCTTTCTTATGAGTCGCGCGTCAGGTGTTGCTTTGTTGTGGGATGTGATAGTGAGGTGTGGTCTAGACCCTTTATATGCCTTCCTTTGATGCATTACTTTTATTGTTCCTTGATAATGTGAGTAGTAACAAAAGCTCTTGGAATTTCTCTATTCTTTCACAGTGGTTGTTTTGCATATTCTGAAATCACCTGTTTACTGTGATCTCATTCCATACATATATATATATACATAATATATTATATATATATATATATATATATATATATATATATATATATATATATATATATATATATATATATATATATATATATATATATATACATATATATATATATATATATATATATATATATATATATATATATATATATATATATATATATATATATATATAAATAAATAAATATATATATATATATATATATAAATATAAATATATATATATATATATATATATATATATATATATATATATATATATATATATATATATATATATATATATATATATATATATATATATATATACATATATGCAAAACAACCACTCTGAAAGAATAGAGAAATTCCAAGCGCTTTCGTGACTACTCACATTATCCTTGATAATGTGAGTAGTCACAAAAGCACTTGGAATTTCTCTATTCTTTCAGAGTGGTTGTTTTGCATATTCTGAAATCACCTGTTTACTGTGATCTTTTTGCATATATATATATATATATATATATATATATATATATATATATATATATATATATACATATATATATATATATATATATATATATATATATATATATATATATATATATATATATATATATATATATATATATAAACACTGATCTCTGGGGGAAGGAAACTCGAACCTACAAACCTTGTAACAAGGTATGCATTGTATTACCATGCTCGCCACACTGGACCAATACCTTGGCGTGCAGCTTGCGCTACACGTTGATCCAATCTGGACGCCAAGGTATTGGTCCGGTGTGGTGAGAATGGTAATGCACTGCGTACCTTGTTCCAAGGTTCGTAGGTTCGAGTCTCCTTCAGCCAGAGATCAGTGTTTGCGTATATTTCGCCTGCTCTTGCGTATTCCTTGCATACACACACACACACATACACATACATACACACACACACACACACACACACACACACACACACACACACACACACACACACATATATATATATATATATGTGTGTGTGTGTGTGTGTGTGTGTGAAAAGTGGGTCATAATAAGCGTGTATGCACCTGGAGAAGAGAGGAATGTAAAGGAGAGAGAGAGATTCTGGGAGATGTTAAGTGAATGTATAGGAACCTTTGAACCAAGTGAGAGAGTAATTGTGGTAGGGGACCTGAATGCTAAAGTAGATAGGGTGTGGTAGGTAAGTTTGGGGTGCCAGGTGTAAATGATAATGGGAGCCCTTTGATTGAAATTTGTATAGAAATGGGTTTAGTTATAGGTAATACATATTTTAAGAAAAAGAGGATAAATAAGTATACAAGATATGATGTAGGGCGAAATGACAGTAGTCTGTTGGATTATGTATTGGTAGATAAAAGACTGTTCAGTAGACTTCAGGATGTACATGTTTATAGAGGGGCCACAGATATATCAGATTACTTTTTAGTTGTAGCTACACTGAGAGTGAAAGGTAGATTTGATACAAGGAGAATAGAAGCATCAGAGAAGAGAGAGGTGAAGGTTTATAAACTAAAAGAGGAGGCAGTTAGGGTAAGATTTTTTTTTTTTTTTTATTATCACACCGGCCGATTCCCACCAAGGCAGGGTGGCCCGAAAAAGAAAAACTTTCACCATCATTCACTCCATCACTGTCTTGCCAGAAGGGTGCTTTACACTACAGTTTTTAAACTGCAACATTAACACCCCTCCTTCAGAGTGCAGGCACTGTACTTCCCATCTCCAGGACTCAAGTCCGGCCTGCCGGTTTCCCTGAATCCCTTCATAAATGTTACTTTGCTCACACTCCAACAGCACGTCAAGTATTAAAAACCATTTGTCTCCATTCACTCCTATCAAACACGCTCACGCATGCCTGCTGGAAGTCCAAGCCCCTCGCACACAAAACCTCCTTTACCCCCTCCCTCCAAACCCTTCCTAGGCCGACCCCTACCCCGCCTTCCTTCCACTACAGACTGATACACTCTTGAAGTCATTCTGTTTCGCTCCATTCTCTCTACATGTCCGAACCACCTCAACAACCCTTCCTCAGCCCTCTGGACAACAGTTTTGGTAATCCCGCACCTCCTCCTAACTTCCAAACTACGAATTCTCTGCATTATATTCACACCACACATTGCCCTCAGACATGACATCTCCACTGCCTCCAGCCTTCTCCTCGCTGCAACATTCATCACCCACGCTTCACACCCATATAAGAGCGTTGGTAAAACTATACTCTCATACATTCCCCTCTTTGCCTCCAAGGACAAAGTTCTTTGTCTCCACAGACTCCTAAGTGCACCACTCACTCTTTTTCCCTCATCAATTCTATGATTCACCTCATCTTTCATAGACCCATCCGCTGACACGTCCACTCCCAAATATCTGAATACGTTCACCTCCTCCATACTCTCTCCCTCCAATCTGATATTCAATCTTTCATCACCTAATCTTTTTGTTATCCTCATAACCTTACTCTTTCCTGTATTCACCTTTAATTTTCTTCTTTTGCACACCCTACCAAATTCATCCACCAATCTCTGCAACTTCTCTTCAGAATCTCCCAAGAGCACAGTGTCATCGGCAAAGAGCAGCTGTGACAACTCCCACTTTGTGTGTGATTCTTTATCTTTTAACTCCACGCCTCTTGCCAAGACCCTCGCATTTACTTCTCTTACAACCCCATCTATAAATATATTAAACAACCACGGTGACATCACACATCCTTGTCTAAGGCCTACTTTTACTGGGAAAAAATTTCCCTCTTTCCTACATACTCTAACTTGAGCCTCACTATCCTCG